TATTATGAAATCTGCCTCCTCCCTCAATGTGGACAAAGGTATGGCAGCCTCTTCCCCCCAACACACATTTCAATTATGAATTGTACACACAGGGTTATATTCTAAACAAGAAATAAGTTTATTAACTACCCAAGGTGAATTTTAAGTGAATATAAGAGATAACAGACAGAACAAAGCAGATTAATGAGCAAATAAAACAAAGTACACAAGCTAAGCTCAATATACTTAAGAAACATGTTACAACATGTAATTTCTTATCCTAAACGTTATTTTAGGCCGGTTGCAAAGTTTCTGTGCTTCAGAGTTCCAGTTATATTTCTTTTCAGACTGGACCCCTGTCTCAGTGTGGACTACCCTCCCCATCCCTCGCCTTCCCTTCAGATGGCTTTCACAGTCTTTTTTCTTGAGGAGGCAGGCCGTGGAGAGGAGGAGTCACATTTGTCTTCCTCCCCACCCTTAAGATTTACAGAAGGCAGGAATCCTTTGTTTCCCAAACTTGACCCCCCCCTTCCCTTCCAGTGGAAAGTTACAAGAAGTCCCAGGTAATGTTTAGTATCAGGTGACAAGACCACCTGACCTAGTAGTGAGACAGGTTTCACAGTGGTAGCCGTGTTAGTCTGTATTAGGAAAAACAATGAGGAGTCCTTGTGGCACCTCGAAGACTAACAAATTTATGTGAGCAAAAGCCACTCTTTATTCTGCCAGCTTGTTTTCCTCATAAGCCAAAACCTGCACACACTAAATATCCCAGTGAGTGGGTCACACAGTGGTTGTAAAGTATTTCAGAGCCTCCACACAAACCTTGAATCTATGTAGTTCAAGTAACACCCGGGATAGATTATTGGATTTTATTTCAGGTAGTTCTGGGAGCCCCAGTCGTGGTCCCTGGCCCTGCTGTGCAAGGTGCTGTACAAACACAGAGTAGAAAGTGAGTCCCTGCACAAGAGAGCTCACTGTCTAGGGAGGCAGGGTAGATAGAGACCAGGAACTAGGTCTCAGGAGACCTTGGTACTATTCCTGACTCTGTCACTGGCTATCTGGGTGACCTTGGCCAAGTTACTGGCACACTCTGTGCCTCAGTTTCCCCATTTGTAATAACCAGGACGCTGCTACTGACCTCCTTGGTAAAATACATTGAGATCTACTGAGGAAAAGCACTAGAGAAAAGCTAGGGGTGAGGGGCTGGGCTGACTGGAAAGGCAGAGGTGCCATGAGGGGCCGGGCCAGCTCAGAAAGCGGCAGGGCCGGGCTGGCTGGAGAGGTGGAGGGGCCAGGCCAGCGGGGAAGGCAAAGGGGCCATGAGGGTTCTGTCCTGTTGGGAATGCGGAGGGGTCATGAGACCCTAAGGAGGTGCGGGAAGAACACAAAGGGGATTGGAGAAGAGGGAGAGAGAGACAGAAGTGTGGAGCTCTAGCACTGACAACCCCTGCATTTCATTCTCCTCCATGCACAACCTGGCAAGTCCCCCAGCCTGATACAGGGAAAACCAGGAATCCTGGCTCCCAACACCCATACCCCCCGATCTATCTCACTGGACCCCACTCTCCACACAGAATTCAGGATAGAACACACGAGTCCTGGCTTGCAACCCTACCTTGACCATGGGAGCCCACTCTTCTCCCCGAGACAGGGACAGAACCCAGGAGTCCTAGTTCTCAGTACCCTGCTCTAACCATTAGACTTACTTCCCTCCCATGGCCAGGGATAGTACACAGGAATCCTGGCTCCCAGCCCCTTCCCCCTCCCAATCTAACCATTAGACCCCATTCTCCTCAGAATTCCATCTTGGTCTCGTGTCTCATGCTGTTGGGGGCTGTTTTCCCAGTAGCGCTGGGTTCCTGTCGGGGAGCTCTGAGGATGGGGCCTGTGAAACTGTAACAATGCTGGACTCGCCCCTGCGGCGCCTCCTGCTGGTCATCTCAGGAATTAGCTCTCCAGCTGTCAGAGCACCCTCTGCAGGCCAGTGATCTGCCTTACCGCTGGCCCCATGTCCCTCCCAGGACCCTGGTGCCCCTTTCTCTGGGGTGCTGCCCCTCTGGCAGTAACCCCAATCTCAGGGTCTCCCCTCCCAGGGGAACCCCCAACCCCTATCCCCACCTCACCTCAGTCTTGGCTACTGCCAGTCACCACTTAGCCCCCGTTCACTGGGGCAGACTACAATGTATCAGCCACTCATCACAGACCAGCCACTCATCCCTCACCCCTAGCTCTGGACCTGCTGCCTCTGCCTTCCCTATCCATGGACTGCCTCCTGCAACTCAAGTGCCCCGTTGGCCTCACCCTAGGCCTGCAGCCTGGGGCTTTCCTAGGCCGGAGCTCCCCGGATCCCTTGGCCTTTCCCCAGCCCTGCTCCACTCTAGGCACTTGGTTAAGCTCCCTACAGCCAGGCCCTTCTCTCTCTGAACACAGAGAGAGACTCCCTGCGTGATCTCCTGGCTCAAGCCTTTAAGGGCCAGCTGAGCCTACTTCCCACTCAGCCTGTGATGTTCTCCCAGCCCTTCAGCCCTCTCCCAGGGCTGGTTTTAACCCTGTCAGGGCTGGAGCGGGGAGCCACCCCGTTACAGTAATGAACACCCCGGTGGGCCAGCCTATACTCCACCCTGGTCCCGAGGCCCGCCGGGGATATCAGCTGGTGGCTCCTTCATGGGCCGTGAGCATGGGCATGTATTTGGCACGGTTTACCCTTGTCCCGGACACCTGGCCCTTCTGCGGCATGAGGGAGACTCTGGCGCATGTTTACTTGGAGTGCACCAGGTTGCAGCCCCTATTCCGGCTCCTCACGAATATTCTGTTACATTTCTGGCCGCACTTTTCCCCTCACCTCCTTCTCTATGCACTCCCTATCTGTGGCCCCACAAAGTCACGGGACCTCCTGGTCAACCTCCTCCTGGCCCTGGCTAACACGGCCATCTAGAAAAGCAGGGAGAGGAGGTTGGCCGATGGGGTCTCCTGTGACTGTGGGGCCTGTTTCTGATCCTCTATCCATTCACGTATCCGGGCAGAGTTCATCTGGGCGGCTTCCGCTGGCTCCCTTGATGCCTTTGAGGAGCAGTGGGCACTGTCCTGGGTTCTCTGCTTGGTGTCCCCATCAAGCTCCCTTCTTTTGACCCTTTGACCGCACTCCTGTCCCTGTTATTTCATTAGTTGTCTCCCGAAATCATTTGGTTTCCAGTCATGTAGCTCCTCCCCTTAGGCTGGGGGGGGGTCCTTCAGAGCCCACTTCCCAGAACCGAATAGATACAGTAACGAACACTCTGGGGAGGGCTGGGTGTGACTGAGATTTTATCTAGAACAGGAAGGGGCAACATTTCACATGAGTTTTCTCACCCAGGGAAGTACCCACAACATGTAGATAACACTCATTGCTATTGACCTGCTCTAACCCCTAGACCTCACCCCCCTCCCAGAGCTGAGGACAGACCCCAGGAATCCTAGCTCCCATTGACCCCTTTCCCCAAACTCCAAACCACTAGACCCGCCCCCCCACTCCTCAGCTGGGAGTTGCATCATTTCTGACCCAGCATTTGTTGTGAGCTAACAGTGCTGGGTTATCTCTGGGTCGTGGTGCAGCCCCTGTCAGGAAAGAACTTGTGCAAAATACAGGCCCTTCCTCTTCATGGGGGCACGGCTCAATAGATGAGCTGCTGGACAAGCATCTAGTGCGTTAGAGAGGTGGGGGGGAGCTAGGAATCCTGGGTTCTGTGCCAGGCTCTGGGAGGGAAGTGGGGGGCTAGTTTTAAAGAAATGGCTGTTGCGTAGGTGATTTTGCTGCTAAGACAGTGTCCGATGATCATTTCCGTTCATGGTTTGCAGCTTGTGGATCTCAGAGAGCCGGTGGGGGTGCAGCATGTAGAAGACACAGAGTTAAGGAGAGTGAACTCAACACACAGGGGAGGGCTCAGGGGTGCTGGGGACAGACTCACGGGCGCTTTCCTGAGCAAATACGCACCATCCACGTCTCTCTCTGTGCTGGGTCCTGCACTGCCCAGGTTAGTCGAGACGATGGGCAGAGGGATTCTTCTGTACTATAGAAGAAAATTATTACTACACCATCCCTGCACCCCATTCCAAGAGCCAAGGATTGAACCTAGGAGTTCTGGCTTCTACCCCCCTTCTGCTAACCATTAGGCCATTCTGCAGAGCAGAACAAATGCTAATCTAACAAGGCCATGGGAGGCGCAGTCCCAGGCAGAGGTAAGAACCCAGAGGTCAAAGACCCAGTTGGGAATCTAGAACTCATAGACTTTGAACACATTGAGAGGATTACAAGAAATGAGATTTCAAATCCAGCTAGTAATGCAGAATCCAAGAGAGTCAATTAGGTTAGAACACATTGTGCAGGGCTGGCAACACGGCTGTGGGGCAGAGAAGTAGGTCAGTGGATAGAGGCTTCCTGTGTTATAATGAGGGTGAGAAGGACCCTGCCCATTCTCACAAGTTAGGGTGTAGCAGCAATTCCTATGACAGGCAGATGAGCTCAGAAGACAGGTTTGGGGTAGGGTGGCTTTTTCCAGTTTGTAGCAGTGACTTCCACCATCACCAACTCCTGCATGATTGGAGTCAACAACACCGATCCCCACCTCCCTGAGCCAGCCAGTCCCTGCCCTGGAGACAGATTAGAGCTGGCATGTGCTAGGGGGAAAGGCCCTGTGCCCCATTCCTCCCCCCCCCCCCTGAGCCAGCCCAACATCCTGATTACTGCTGTGTATTTGACCTACAAAACTGTTCCCTTCCCCACTCCTCCCACATCTGCTGTCCCTCTTTTCCTCCTCTGCTGCCCATAGTTCTACCTTGTAGAACTAAGTTCCACCAGCTATAGCCCAGTTGCTGAGAATACCCAGCCTGGATATTCTGGAGGACCAGAGGGTGCCCAGCTAGGTTCTCTCCAATAGTGCATTCCTAACGCCCTCTCTTGTTGCTTCATTCCACCTCTTCCATTCTACCCTTTCCCCTCCACTGTTGTCCCTTCTAACCCCTCTTCTGTCTCTCCCCAGGGCACCATGGACCAAGGGAGCACGACTCTCCCACCAACCACTGGGGTGAATTCCAGCCCTACCTCAGCAGCTGTGAGCCCCGCTCACCTGGCCTCTGCAGTGTTGTTCTTTCCCACCTTCCTGGTGGGTGTGCTGGGGAACGGGTTGTACCTGTGGGTGCTGGGACTGAAGATGAGGAGGACGGTGACCACCCTCTGGTTCCTCTCCCTGGTCTTCTGCTACTTCCTCTACACCCTGATGATCCCCTTCTTCATTGTCTACCTCCTCATGGATTTACACTGGGTCTTCGGCAAACCCATGTGCAAGCTCCTCTACACCTTCATCTCCGTGGGTATGTTCACCTCTGCCTTCCTTATCACCCTCATCAGCCTGGACCGCTACACCCTCACTCACCATCCCATCTGGTCCCGGAATCACCGCACCATGCCCCGGGCTCGGAAGCTGGTTGTGGGTGTGTGGCTGACCTCCTTTGTTCTCAGCACTCCCTACCTGGCTTTCCGGGAGATCCGCGAGATGGACGGGGGCAAGATCGTCTGCATCAATAATTACACGCTCTCCAGAGACTGGAATGGAGCCGAGACGGAGGAGCTGAGCAGACGGGTCCACCAGGCTTTCTTCATGGTCGAGTTCCTGCTGGGCTTCCTGCTGCCTTTCTGCACCATCATGGGATGCTATGTCAGCGTTGGGCTGAAGATGAAGGAGAAGAGGCTGGCATGGGCTGGGAAGCCCTTCAAAGTCATGGTGACCGCGGTGGTTTCCTTCTTCCTTGGCTGGCTGCCCTACCACCTCTACTATGGCTTGAAGCTCTACAAGAAGGAGGAGATAGAGTTAGTGACAGGCCCTCTCTTGGTCATTTACACCTTCTCATGCAGCTTCAACACCTGCTTTAGCCCCATCCTCTACCTCTTTATGGGAGAGAAATTCTGGCAGGTCTTCAGGACATCTCTTGTCACTCTAGTCAAAGCGGCTTTTGTTGACGATCTCGGCAGCGGTGTCCCCGAGTCTAGTGGAAGACAAGGGTCAGAAGTCGAGAACACAAAACAGGAGATGATCTGAAGATGGCCAGACTTAGGGAGAGTTGAAAACTTGGCATCCCTTTTGTCCCTAGATTCCTGATGGTTCTCAATCCTAATGGGCTCCAGGTATCTAACTGTTCATAAACCCTGCAATATCCCTGGATTCTAGATTCCCTGCTTTCTCCAGAATTGCATGCATTCTAGGTCACTCCATTTTTTCAAACTCAATGCATCATCAATGGCACCAGATAGTAGCCAGCTACAGAATCTTGTTTGTTTTAGATGTCTCAATGTGTTTGCACCTAATTGACTCTCTTGGATTCTGCATCACTAGCTGGCTCTGGAATCTCATTTATTGTAAGCCTCTTAATGTGTTCAAAGTGAAAGTCTACGGGTTCTAGATTCCCGACTGGATCTAGGACATCACTGGATTCTAGAGTGTTTTCAAACCACATAGAATCCAACAGGTTCCAGATTGTTTGCTAAAAGTCTCAAAGGGGTTCTAGATTACCAAATGGTTTAAAATCCATTAGGTGTAGTATATTATAGAAGAGTCTCTGTATTACTATAGTGATATCTTGCTCTTCTCTAGTGCTTGTCATGAGTAGATCTCTAAGAACTTTAGCAAGCAGATCAGTAGCAGTTTTCCAGTTTTTACAAATGGGTAAACTGAAACACAGAGTGGGGAAGTGACTTGGCCAAGGTCAGCCAGTAGAACCTTTGGTCCGTCCAGTGGCACAACCGGGAACAAACCCATGTCTGCTGTGTGCTAGCAGGTTTCTATCCATTGCATCTCCTTAGACTGTTAACTCTCTGGGACAGGGACAGTGTTTTCGCTCTGTGTTTGTACAGTGCCTAGCACAGCAGGTCCTGGGCCAGGATTGGGTTTCCCAGTGCTACCAAAAAATAATAATAATAATTCCCAGGCATTCCTTGAACTACATAGATTCTGTAAGTTTTCTGGGGTGTCTCTGACATAATTTACAAACACTGCGTGACCCGCTCACTGGCATATTTAGTGTGGAGAGTCTCTGCCTTAGTTTAAGAGTGGCCAGTAAGGAAAAGAAGCCAGGAGAATGAAGAGCGGCTCCAGAGAAACCACCTGCCCGTGAACATTCAGGGAGGTGAAGAGATAACGTTCAAGCTAGTAACTGTGATGCTGTATGGAATGTGGATGACCATTCATAATATTATGGATACCAATATTACAAAATTGCATGAATCATACCAGATATGCCATGTCAGGTATCAGTGGATAAGGTATGATTTGCTAAATATGGTAAGCTTGTTTATATGTATGTGTCATATATGTATTGTGAGTTATAAATATGTTTGGTATATTGATATCTCCAACTTTTGACACACCCAGACAGATTGGCATTAGCACTGCCTAGTCTGTTCGATGGCCCATCAAGGGCAATCGGCTGTACAGTAAACCCATTGAGAGAAGCCACGGGTACGCCTCTGAGTCAGCAGGACTTGTAGGGACATGCCTCTGGAGAGGGGACTCCAAGAGCTTTTCCATACCCATATGCTGGGAACTTGTATTTGGGACAGAGGATGTACACAGGATATCAGAATGCAGCTGCATCTTCTCCATTTTGTCTTCAATCCTGCTTCCGACCTCTGGAATAACTTCTCTACAAACTGCAGCTCTGAACAAAGTACTGAATGACCAATCCAAGCTGTGGATGTGTTCCAGAGGGACTTTACCAGCCAGCAAACTCGCCAATGCTGCTGCAAACCTGATATATAGACTTTGAAGTCTCTGTGTGTATCTGATTGCTTAGACCATTGAACAAATCTCTGCTTGTTCTTTTCTTTTTTTTTACAGTAAAACCTTTGGTTTTAGATGCTAAAGGATTTCCTGGCAACGTGGTATTTTGGGTAAAATCCAAACCAGTATAGTTCTGGAAATGTGGCTGGCCCTTTGGGGATCAGAAGAACATTTTGTATAGTGTGGGAAAAGAGACCGGGATGGCCTTCCTTACAGAGACAAAAACACAGGCCTCAACCCGTCTTACAGGCCGCAAGCCTGAACCAGACTAAGTGTCATGTTCCCAGCCAGCATCGGTCAAGGGTATGACCAGAGGAGGGAGGGGGCCGGAGGGAGAGAAAGAAGACGCCCAGCAGCAATAATAGCTTGTGTGTGTTTATGGCAATGAAATATAATAATAACCCCTCATAAGGCTGGCGAAATATAATAACCGCTTGTGTGAAGCAAGACCGTATCTAATTAAACTAACGAATCACATCTCGTTATTTAGCTGCCCTTAACCCCCCTTCTCCGAGTGCACAAACTCCCTTCCCGAAACAGCACCCTGACGGGAACATTTGCACAATAGGCACCCCAAATAAGGCAAGATAATGCCAGTATTGGAAAACCACCAGGAACCCCTCTACTCAATTAGCACCCTATTCCGAGAAATTGCCTAAGAATTGCCGAGAAGGGCGGAAAGACCCTAACTCCCTTATTCTCATAAATGACGTGTAACATGTAATATGTTTGCGGTTTTTGACTATAAAAGTAACTCTGTATGCTCAATTCAGGGGAGTGGTTTTCTAACTGCTACCCCCAAAGTGTTGATATGTATTGCAATAAATGGGCTTCAGGCTTGAGTCTCTGATCAAAATGATGCATGGGTGACTTTTTCCACAACAATAGTGAATAGAGTTTTAAGTAACTTTTCACTTTACTGGACCTATTTGCTATTTGCCTAGATTGGAATGCAATAAAGGCAGCTGTGTGATTTTTTTTTCTTGGCTTCTTGATAATCCATGTGGGGGGATCAGGAGCACAGCTTGTAACTGGTTGGTGACTCTAACTAATGTATTAGCCACCAGTTTGGGGATAAATTGCTCTTCTTTTTGCAGCCTGCCCTGAGCTTGGGATATTCAGTGTGGGCTGCCCTAGGCACCTATGGTCACAGGTCACAGTAACCGTCAAGATCTCACACGCCAGCTCCAGCTAAGTTACAAAATCTGGGCCAAGGCTGGGGGCCAGCACATCCAAAATATGATAAAGACTAAAAAAGACTCACCCTGATAGTTTCTCCATCACCAACAATTTTTGATGCAGGGCTGGATGGTATTTTTAACATGTCTGTTCCAGTCAACCAGGGACTAATTTAGGGACATTCTGCCGCAGGTCAGACTAGGGGACCTCCATTATCCTTCAGTCCTTGGGATATCTGATTCTATCCAGAGGTCAGGCAGACATTGTCAGGGAGCTGAACCATTTGCCACCTGAACCCACTGTGGTATCTGAGGAAGCCAGGCCTATGTAGGCCACCAACCCTGGGTGGAGGCTGTAGGTAAGTTAGACATGTGTCCCCCTTTCTCCAACCTCTTTTGGTTCCTCTCTCCTACACCAAGGGTCTCCCCTGCCCTGACACTGCTATCGACCAGCGCAGGAGCCAACTCTGGCCACTCCCATGTGGGTGAGAGGGGAAATCAGTTCACAGCTGCGAGTTTTCTTCTTTGCCATTATCCTGCTGTGGGGGGCTGAACTTTCAGGTGCTGGAGCTGAAGATGAGAAGCACAATGACCAGCCAGTGGTTCCTCTACCTGGTTCTCAGGCCGCTGTTCTCCTCCTATTGTATACCGGTGTTTGCTACAGTTCCGCTGGATCCGGCGCCCCTTTGAGGGGAAAGGCCCCATGTCCCTTTCCCCACCTCCCTGAGTCAGCCAAACATCCAGATGAGAGCCACATTGTTTTCTCTGCGTGGTTCTGTGTTTGACCCTGTAGACTATTTTCCCCTTCTCTGCTCCTCCCACTTGCACTGTCCTCCTTTCCCCTCTGCATCTGCCATCCTGTCCTGTAGCAGTGAGTTCCAGCAGTGAGGAAGGGTGCTGCAGAGTGAACACTGGCCACAAGGGGACACTCCAATAGCAGGCACCATGTTACAGAGCCCCACAGGTAAATGCTACCCATGTCCAGTGGTGGTGGGGGGTCCCCTGGGTTAATGCCACTTGTGTCCAGTGGCAGGGGGTCCTGTGGATTAGCCACACCAAGGAACAGATCTTGCAATCGGTCATCTGCTTCAATGAGGAAAAACATCTATTTGCCCTGGGAGTTTTCTTTTCCAGAGTTGCACACTGGCAAAATAATTGTGTTTGCCACACCTTGGGCATTCGTGTCCACACGCGGGACGGTTCCATTCGGCTACTACGGCTTTTATAACAACCCTTCCTTGCCTTTGGCTTCTCTTGTTTTCACGGCTCTTGATAGCAGGCTTTTTTTTAGCAGCAGGACCGTGACCACAGATCTGGGTGCTTATGAAAGGCGGATTTAAACAGCAACCTACGCACGTGGTTTTCTGGCTCACCCGGCCTTTTCGATTGTCTTACCGTGGTTTCAGCTGCCTGCTGTACAGCCCCCAGCTCATTCGAGGATTTCAGTTTGTCTCTGTCACTGTCCTAGCGCACGCCGGGCCTGACAGCATTCCACACACAGTCCTTAATGTGGGAGTCCCACACGTCTCAACATTCACAAGATCACGCTGCCAGTTGTAGACAGATGTCGGACTGATTTATACTTTCCCCCATCCGGCTGACTTCCAGTGCAAAATTCCTGCCTTTTGGCCATGAACGCTTCTCCACCCTGCACAGCGTCCCCACTCATTCCTTAAGACTTGTATATTTTTCTCTGCATTATCAAATCGAAACCTGTTCAATTTCCTCTTCCAGCCTGCCACCTGAGAAACCAAGCTGTTTGCAGCCGTTCGTGTCTTTGTCTGCACACTGCCCCACTCAAATCACGGTTTCCACTTTCTCCGGCTCGCAGTGGTTCAACAAAGACAAGTGCAGAGTCCTGCACTTAAGGACAGAAGAATCCCAGGCACTGCTACAGGCTGGGGACCAACTGGCTAAGCAGCAGTTCTGAAGAAAAGAACCTGGGACTACAGTGGATTAGAAGCGGGTTATGAGTCAGCAGGGCGCACTTGTTGCCACACAGGG